TTGGGCAGGAATATGTATTTTTTTCTCTTATACAACACCTTTTTTAAATCTCATTTAATCAGATTTCAACAATATTAAATAAATATTAAAATATATTTTAACAGTGTTCCTGCAACATTTTAACCCATTTTCCTGCTGGAATTTAAGGTCTGCCCAGACAAGCAAATCAGCTGACATTTAAATGGGTGTGCAGAAATCGAATTGACTGAAACCTAAGGAAAATGTTTACTCTTACCATAGTGTCGCCATCAATACTACAAGAGCACTGACAGCGCTTGTGGATTTGGTGGGGAAAGATGAGGGGAGGCAGAGGAAGCTGTCTGTGCCCGCAAGTGCACCGAGGTTCTCACGCGAAGAAATACTCGTACGTGCGCAGTTTGTCGCACCTGTTTAACACATCCTCGGGAAAAAATGATCAGGCAGTACTGGCAATTGTTTAACAGTTTTCTATCTACAACAATGTTGGATAAAGTAGGCCTGCTAAGAATCACCTCTAACGCACTCTATAATAAAGAAAAAAATGGTGCAAAACGATAAATAGTACATTCTAGAAACTGAGCTCATGCAACAGGTTTAAACCTCAATTCAGCTGTCTTTGCGTCACTTTGTATGAATTTTCAGTACCCCCCCCCCTTTTTCACGATCATAATTTGCACTAAAATCCTTTCCCTACTCATTACATTCCATAGGTTCGGCAGATACCACGAGAGGCCCTGGTAGTCTGTTAGATACTGAAGAGAATAGGAAACCACCTAATTTGAGAAAATCTTTGTCATTTTGTAGAACCCCTAGTTTATGTTGTATGCAAGACAAGATGATTTTTGATCTATTTATGTTGTATAGCTAAAAAAAGTAACAAAAACATACAAAAAGAGTGAGACAATTACTTCTAAAGAAAATAACCCAAATATAATCCAAGAAAAAGAAGAGTTCCAGACTGGAATGATCAGGAACAACTAGGAAGTTGCTAAGGGAATACCGGTTAAATTAAAGGAACAGGCCTACAGTCCTTAATTTTGTATTCGTGATGATGTATTCAAGGTATTATATTTGCACAGGGCAAATTGATTAAGATTTGAGAGTCTATTGCGAAATGCATCCAATAAATAAAAAACTTCTTCCGCATTTCAGTCAATACCCATCAACCTGCTGCATTATTTATTATATTAATGGTCATGAAGCATACTATTATTTCTTTATTTAACCATCACTGTATATGGTAAAATTTGAAATATAAACTCTTTCTATTTCTTCAAATAATTCGAGTAGCTATAAACAATTTAAAATTTCACCTTTTGTGATATAATAATATATTCTTAAGAGTTCTCAAAGTAATTTGTCATGAAGAAAGCTAATAGTGTCTTCCCTTGGCCATGAACATTTGACATTAACTCCATATAAAAACTTTTAAGATTCATAAAGGATAAGCTAAAGAATAACAACTTTTCAATCCAACACCAGTTAATTGAGGAAATCAATACTTTGTGATACACTTGCATTGATTTCAAGCCATGGTACATTAAACTTATGATATACTAAAAGAAGAATGTAAGCTTTGATAAATGATAATAGATCAACGGGAAATTTAAATTTTTTTCTGATGACATTTCATTTGATGATAATTTCTTGCTGTTCTTGTAAACTAGAATTATGTTTTTGGTATGTTATAAAGGCCTACTCACTTCATTTTAACATGTATTATATAATTTATTAACTCAGAGAAATTTACTTTACAATAATTATTAATATGTGGAAATTCTTTGTCTGGTAAGTAATTTGAGTAGGTACATACACATTTTCCCATATTTTTCCTTGAAGCATCTCAAAGGTGTATTCAAAAAGTTCATAGAAACCAAAATGCTGAGTCTAACAATTAGAAAAGTTCTGTAAGTTCAACTTACAAAATTTTGAAATCTAATAATTTCAATGACAGAAAAATATTGTATGGAGTTTATAAGTGTTGAATATACGGTTCTTTCAAAACATTGGTTACACATATTTATTTAAAAAGTTACAATGTAACACTTCTAATGTACCTTACATTTACATAATTTTAAGTCATATGTAATATGTTTACACAAATTATAAATATTTGGATTAATTAAATTGTTTGAGTACAGGTTTACACTCATTCAGTTACTTGGTAAAAATATTCTCATTAATTTCTTATCTTATTTTTTTAATTTCTTATTTTATTCCAAAAACTGGAAATGACTAATTGTTTCTGAAATGTTTTGATAGTGTTTTAACACAAGAATTTCAACAGTCTTCTCTCTTCACATTTATATTGTAGAAAAAAAAAAGTGTTTCCCTCCTCAAATACCAAACGCAGAATTAATTGGAGTTATTTCTCCAAATTAAAGGGTCGGAATTCCTCATTTTTTGAAGTGGGAGGGTTGAGAATCTCAACATACTTGAAATATTATCAACTCTTAGAATTGTCAACTTGAAATAACAATTTGTGTATGAGTTGCTTTGATGAAATACTTTGTCCAGAATAATGTGTGATGCTGTCTTTGTTGCAATGTGAAATAAAGTGAAAATGAAAGCAGTTTGGTTGAATTTACTAGGATTAGCCAACCTTGTGATTTTCTTTAATCCTCTATATTTTTCCAATTTATTAATGCAAAACACTTAAACAATGCAAAATAAATGAAGTAAATTGGAAATTGTTTCTGCCTTTGTGAACATGGTCCAAAATGTTTCTGTTCTAAATACTCTAGATATGTTTGAGCAGAAAATGCTGATAATATTTCTTGCGTCGTAATCGTTCTCTTCAGTTATTGATTTATAGCAAATACTATAAAGTCATAGAGCAGACATATAGTATCTACAGACTAGTATTTGGTTATAGCATCGAAGCATACTGTTATTCACAAAACCAGATAGAAACTCGGACGTCCTAAAGTCGGATATCACGTGTTTCTCGGTTGTGCCTTTCGGTACCATCAACTAAAGCAGATTCCGTTTCTTTTATCCATGGAAATGTTGACTCTTGTGAAAATTACAAAAAAAGATTGTTTAATCATAGGAATAATGAATGTAGGCATGCCTATTCTAAGGTGAAAACGTTGAATTCATTAATACTTTACGATAGGTAACACCCGAATTTATGTCCGTTATAATAAATCTATGTGGAATACGAAACGTAGTTGATCTTTGTGATGTTGAATGCAGTACCACTAGTTTTCCCATACCAAGGGTGAATTGTGAAGTTACCGTAGGTGAAAGATACCTTTCCTAAAGAGTGTATGATGTGTACGATCTACATCCTTGCATCACGGTCTCACATTTTAATTGCCAGAGCCTTGCTATAGTACATATTATGTAAATATTGCCGAGTACATTTCTTTGGTATAAATGCAGGGCATTTGCATGTTGGCCGTGAAGGATGACCGCACATGACCTAGTCGTAAGCCTATTGTGTTTCCATAATTGAAAGACTTACTGGATTTGTTTAAGAATATTAATGTTTTGGAAATTAATTGAACTTGATATAACATAATTTAGTAAATGTACTTGGTTTTTAAAAGCAAACATGAGTGTTCAAAGATTGTTACGGGAAAAACAAATTTCACATAATAAAAGAAACTCCAAGAAAGTCAAGGAAAATCCAAAAAGGAATGAAAAAAGGCGAGAATAAAAGACAGCTGATCCCAAAGACAAGCCATATAACAAATGTATCGAACCTAAATCTTTGAAAGTATTAGAAAGCTTACGAAATTTCCGAAAAGTCTGTCGAAAAGGAGAAATAGTTTCGTAAATATTCGAAAAATAGATTGTTTACACTACGATGTAATATGATGTTTTACCACAAGTTTACTCATGTTAAAGGGAAAGAAACACGACTGACAGATTATTTTTATCCACTCTGTAAAGACGTGAGCTGCAAGTCTACATACATCTTTTTTATTTACATCACGGGGCGGTGGTGACACGCTACAACGCATTCCAAATACGCTTATGTTCGCTCAAAGTGACGCAAAAATGTACTTTTGACCTTCAGTTTATCATGCCAATAGAACAAAATTGCATCTTTAATCCAGCATTTCAATAGTAATATGGTTGCATCTTCCTTTGTAATGAACCATTTTTAGTTTCGAAATGCCTTTAATTTTTAAAATTCCGAATCCTTCCTGTGAACATTAAAATATCAGGTTCAAATTACAGGTACTGATAAGCAATTCTTGTACCGTCACTCGTAAGAGGCTTACAAAAAATAATATTGTTATTGGGTTCACCTAAGGTTAATTACATCCTGCAGCATCACAATCGCAAACGTGGTAACCTCTTCCAACGCCTAACTAAATATTTGAGGTTTGTCCCAGCATCGTTTTGTTGTAATCATAAATCAATTTCGAAAATCAAGAATCGAAAAATAAACTGTAAGTTTTAGGAGCAATAGAGAATTATTGTTGTGATTGACTTCAACTTGCGGATTATCAATCTATTTCCTTTCTTGTGTCTTTTTATTTGGGGATACATTCAATTAGCAGCTTTAAATCTTTCTAATAAATGAGATCTAATTTTTGAGAATTCCTCCAGTCGTTCTTATTAAGTATGCATTCAAAAATGATCTAAAACATAAATAATAGGTTTTGTGACAAATCTATTTCCCTGAAAAGACATTGAATATTTTTTTGATTTCGTTTTCATTAATATTAAAAATTTAATAACATCTTCAGAATATTTCAAAGTATTTATTATATTCATTTCATTCAGGGAAGTATCGTTTTATTCACTCTAATTTTTTCCACTATAATCCCTGAGAAAAGTTTAGGAAACCACACCCCATGGGATGGATAATAAACGGCAATACTACTACTAATAATAAATTTAAAAAAGCATAATCTAGGAATGAAAATCCAAAGCAGCATTAAAACCAAATATAAAAATTCATACGTTTAGGCCTTTTTTAATTAAGTTCATACTCAGTGTCACTGTGCTTACACTTAATTTAATAATAAAAAAGTATAATTGAAAATATAAAACACACAAAAGTGACATTAAATTATGTGTGATTTGCAAAACCAAGAAATTACACTAAGTATGGAATGGAATGGTACAAAATTGAATCCCGATGTCATGTGTGGGTTAGGCACAATGTCTCGTGGATTAACAATTTTTATTACAAAAAATTTACTTACAAATATACAATGAATCAAGGTTCCACATCCTTTATTTTTTGCACCACAACTCCGAATGTCAACTCTCATGTTACAAAATAATTATTTATTTTGGTAAGTGGGTCATCATTCTTGTAATTATTATTAAACTCATATTTTTAATTACATTAAAAATGTTCATGTTTGTAGACAGGAATTGTCCATTTAGAGATAAACATACAATGATTTCATTCATAAGTACAAGTTACAAATATTGAGTCACGTGACAATAGTACCCAATCCAAACAAAATCTAACACTTTTCTACATAAAATGCATTTAAAAAATCAATGTGCCTGCAATTTCACAATAATGTGCTGACAATGTTGTGTATGTTTCTTTGCTGATACCCAGACCTTAACAAAAATTTCTTGCAATGTTTCCAGACTACTAAGAGAGTAGTTCTGATAATAGGGACTTCAACTTTCTTAATCAGATGAAGTCATGAAACTCTTATGAACGATTGCTTATTGGAGCCAGAGAATGCAATGCATTTCACTACATTGCATTATTAGGAACATTTGGCCTAGTTATGGCCAGCTCAGGATGCATGTAATTTCAATTACAAATGGGTGTTAACCAACAAACCAAGGTATAAAAAGAAATGTTTTCTTTATTTCACACTTCATGAAGAGTACAATTATTTTGTATCATTTACACTAATACAATATTAATAACACAATATTCTATATTATCTACAAATCCAGAACATTCAATATTTGAAATTCTCATGACCAAGAAAAATACATCATTAGAATCCTTTACTCTTAACCCAATCTAAGCAGAGTAAAACATAATCGCCTCTAAATACTATATATCCACACATTTCATTGACTTGTGTAATAATAATTTTTCCTGTTTTTTCAACCAGATACTCTTTTAGGTCCCTTTCAAGAGCCTGCAACAAAAATTCAATGTTTACAATTAAAGTAAGAAATTAAAAGGAATAAGTATTATATACAGTAGAAAGAACTGTTTACATATTTAACATGGCTACCAAGTACAACAACAAAAACAAGAATTTCTACTTTATCTGAATGTCAAAGAATGGTCTGAGAAACATTTAAAATCCAAATTACATACAACTACAACAATTCCCTTTATTAATATTGTTCACACAGATAAAATTACTCAGAAATTAGAAAATTTGTTAGGTACTGACATTGTGAAAAGATTGTAATGATTTATATGGATGTAAGCAAATAATTACAGATACAACATTAAAAACCATATTTTTTTTTACTTTTCTTACTGCATTTGGGTACTGTATGCACAAAAATTTTTAGAATTTTATGTAAACTCTTTTTACAATTCTGGATCCCAGATCCAATGTTTTAAAATGACTCCAAAAAGGATTGAAACATTAAGCAAAATAAATTATTGCATATTATTATTATTAGTAATTGTTTGGAAAAAAAGGTCAGTATATATTTAACAGTAAAAAGGAGACAACACATTCCTTAATACTGTATACATTTTAAGAAAATGACACTTGTGGTATTATAAAAGATAACAATGAGCCTATATGTATACACTGATTTGGATCAGTGCACCTCCAGGGTGGCTACTCATTTTCTGATATGTTGGAACCCCCCTTCCCTCCTCGGCCGTTGGTAGCAGTCCTCAGGCCCATCTCCATTTTTATTTTCTTGCTAGAGGGAGCTGCCAACATCCCTCTATGGCCATGCTAGACAATTACGGATGAGAGTATCAGGCTGATAGGGATTGTTGTTAACTCTTAGACTGCTCTAGACGAGTTGATAAGCAAAATATTTCTGTGCATGGTAGCCTCTGGGCGAGTTATTACATTCAGTGGGTTTGTCTCTGGAGCCTGTGGATAAAATCATATGTGAAACCGCCAGGAGCATCTGGATGAGTCTGCTTTTGCAGACGTGTTTTCCGCTATCTCTAGAACTTATTGTTAACTGAGATGTCTAGCACAGTATCTTTGTCCGAACGAGCTCAGCTCACAATGGGGCCTGCAGCGAGAAGCCTCGCCCAATAGGGCACGACTCTCAGTTTCCCTGCCCGTAGCAGTAAAAGGGCAGATGGATCGGTCCCACAATTCCATAACACAGGGGGTCACAGAATAACACTGCCTAGATGTAATGTGGACTTGCCTCCTTTGTCACCCACGAGGGCCAAGTCTGAAAGGATATGGTTTGACATGGAAGTGGGACTTGTACCTGTGACCACTCACACAGAGATCGCCATGCTGTCAAGTGATCTCAAGTCAGTGGTGTAACATTCAGGTCTGTAGACCCAGGTAAAAGAGGGACTATTTTTATTATTTAAGATACTAACACTACTTGTGGTTGCTATACACTTTTATAAAGGGGGTCTGGATAAAAGTTTAGAGGGCAGGTCCACACTAATTTTTTTTACGCTACTGTCTCAACTGTCTGGTGTTTGTTTTATATTTTATGCTCCTTATTACAGCTTGTAATCAATTTTTTTTGAGGGGGGCGGGGTTTGTGATCGTCACATCAATAGGCTTTCTTATCCAGTTTCGGTCCATTCAGTGAGCAAATGCTGAAATGGCCGTCCTTGTTTCTGCATTCTAAATATAGTCCTCCTCCCCTTCCAAAAAATTATCAAGTGTTTTTAAGCAATTCACTGACGTTACATAAAGAAATATTGCATTTGGTGCACTTTAATAACTCATCTTATAGTAAGAGCTTAGAATTAGTGATGAACAGTCAGAAAAAAGTTGGTTGGGATTTTCACACGGGATGAGTACACTCAACATTATTACTTTAGATTTCATAATTTAGCTTAACATGATCCCAAAAATGTGCAAAACTACACATGACTGTTTTCCTTATCGGAAGTATTTAACTTTCATATACTCTATTAATATATTATACCTTAAATTTTTATTCATTAACAGTAAATCTACAATAAAACATGCAATTACAAATGTTTTACTGATACTCTGCAATTTTGAAACAAATTATGATTTTTCACAATATCAACATATTAGTACATGAGCAATACTTGTTAATACTAACCCAAATATCCCCTTTAATCTTCCTGATAAATGTGCGTTTACCGATTCCTCTGTGGCCTATTCTTAGATAAACAGAAGGCATGTGATTTTTACTTCTTCCAATAAAGTAAGGATATTTCAAAGATTCATCTGAAACAAAGTATTTTATGCATTAAGCAAGGCACAAAACCCTACCTTCTTTTAAAAAACTATATTTTTATTTCAAAGCAATTTAATATTTCATGAACTGTGTAAGTATTGAAAACAATTGGTTGGTTTACAAGAATAGGCAAGTGATAAAAAGATTGAAGGAAGATGCCACATTAATAAAGCACTACCATGCTATCATGTTCTCAAGATGCCATCAAGCATGACCATGCTGAAATAAGTTTTAACAAAGTGATCTTACAGGTTGATTTACATTTTAACTTATTTGTAATTTTTCTGACTCACACCTTCTACAATCTGTACAATTACATTCCTTTGTTGAAGAAATTATTCTAGTTTTCCTTTAAAGCTCTAAGGTGCAATGTAGGAAATCATTTTTAGTGAGTAAATGATCCTGAAAATATGTTAAAATACCTTACCTGTGGGTGGTATCCATCCTGAAGGATAGCTGTCACGGAGCACAGGCTCGGGAACTACTACAGGAGGAATAAGCCTCTCCACATATTTCCATTCTTCAGGGTCTTGTGACTCACTGTACTCTCTGCCTGCAGGGGCCGATTTTTCTTTGGCACTATCTGCTGCACTAATTATCGTCCTATGAGACGCTGCAACCTGAGAATCATCGAAAGATTTAAATACGAGTAGTAAATACTTCATAACCTTAAAAAGTCTACATGCTTATGCAATGTTTTCGGCAAGTTTTGATCTTACCGTCAAAATAGGAATAGGATGTGTGTGTTCTACTATGCGGAAGGGCACACAGGCAGTAATTCTTCTAGGTTTCAACGCATTAATCCGGAACCCCGAGCTTATGGCTAACCTAAATGCTGCCATGTTTGTATGATACGCTTCGCGCCCTCCGGATTCGGACTTTTTTCAACATGGACGCATAGCGTCCGAGGATTATGCATTGTAAAATTTCGGTGTCAATGATGAAGTTGTTTTTGTACAATGATAGTTTTTATTTCTCAGCAGTTCTAAGGGGAAAAGTCAAGGTAGAATTTATCAATGAGAGTATTTTAGGTAAGTTGGACATGAATTTTAACACTTTGATACGCGAGATGACTACGTGCCTATCGCTGCATAGGTGGCGCTAACTACCGCGCTGCGAAGGAAGATGGTACTGCATACTGCGATGCGAGAATCACGGTTTTGGAAGGATTGTTGAACTGTGTAGAAGATATTTTCTAGTGAATTTTATTGTTCTGAATGTGCCAAAAGGTATGTTGTTTCTTCTGGGAGTGAAGTTTTAATGATAGGACTAGTTGAAGAAGATCTATGGGACAGCAAAATTTCACTGCAAATCTGCGTTCGTCGTTGATCGTCTTTTGTTTATTTATGCCCTAAAGTTTTTGTAAAGCCGTGCCTCGTCCCATTCGCTTTGTTGACAGCATGTAATAATGTAAAAAGCAGGGAGTTACTTGGTAGCTGCGTTTTTGTGGCGATGCGTGGTCATGCTGCCGGCTGTAGTAAGTCCTAAATGAGTGTAATCTGTGTTTTGTACCATATGATTTTCCGTAATGTCTGTGTATATTTCGCCTGCTACTTTGTCCGCAAACGGAACCTAGTTTCGGGCGTGTACTAGTTGCGCAAAATGTGTATTTATGTATGGAGTGTGTAATGTAGTGTTTTTTACACAGTATTTTATTTTTATTTTTCTTTATTTTCCAGGTACACAAGCTACAAATGCTGGTTGTCACTTGCAATGGCTTCCAGAGAGACGAGAAGTAGTGTCGGTAAGCAGGTGGGTGATTCTAAAGCACTAGATAAAGCAACAGATGTACCTGATGTGAAGAAAGAAAATCGCAAAAATAGTGATTCAGCATCTGACATTGAGCTGAAAAAGCCAATTGGTCGAGCACGGACAAGGAAAACCACAGAAACAACAGACGACTCCTCTCAGGAAAGAAATCCACTAGTTTCAAGAAGTGCTCGTTTTCGATCTGCTAGTTTGCCCCCAGTGTCACGTGAACCTCACAGTCCTAAGGCCCAGCGAAAACTTCGCAATGTGAAGGTGAACCCCCAACCAAATGGTGTTAAGAACCATGTCTCTCCGTACCGTACTCGTTCTGACACACCTATTCATGTATTAAGAAGTGGAAAGCAACGCTCTTCAATTTTAGGATGGGTTTTTGATGATGCCCAAGTTCCACTCGAATATCGCCTTGGTCGTCGACGCACAACCAGTACTCCCAAAGAGAAACCAGAAGATGATGTCGTGAGCTTGAGCAGCAAAGTGAATAGTCCTGGACCTGTTGAAAGTGATATTAGCACCTGTGAATCACCAGTTGCGGAATTGAACAGAATCAGTGTTGGTGAGTTAGACAACGATATCAAAATGCCAGGGTTGTGCTCTACGGATGTCAAGAGTGAAGAAAGTTTCCTGCAGGAAACACGCAGTGAAGGTGACCCTTCTGAAATGAATAGTGACTCGAATCTAGGAAAAACAATCTCACACAAAATATCTGCACTAATGAAACGGGGACAGGTTAGCCAAATCTTGCAGCAAATATCTCGAGCAAGAGAAGAGCGCCGTGCCCAGGCTGTCGAGGGTGACAGAGGGAGTAGTGATAAGAAAAAGGTGAAGGATACAAACTCTAACTTTTGTGGTGGGTTGGAAACTTCGAACAGTGGTGTGAGTTACACTGGACCAATGAGATTCAGTCCTCTGAATCCGGATGCAAATCCTTCTAAAGCCAAAGATCGTGTGCAGAGTGTACCGATGAGAGACGTTTTCATACCAACAATTTTTTACAAAAGAGAAATGAATAAGGAAAGGGAAGACAAATCCAAAGTTGTGAAACCTGCTACTATTAAATCCCGAGTTAACTCCCTTAAAGAGCTGGGGCAAGATGGGAAAGAAAGCAGTCAAAAAGATGGCCCCAAAGTGGAAACAGATGACACAAATGGTGAACCAAATAGAAAGGTAGACAAGGCAACATCAACGTCTCCTGATGAATTTGAGGTGGGAAAAGGTGACACATTTGAGGATGCGTTGCATCGATTAGAACAAGAACTTTCAGATGTTGAAAACTCGTCGATGAATAATTCTCGGAGAAGTAGTGTATCAAGTTCTACAGGGGGTCATGACAAGAAAGTTAAAAGTGAATTGCATGTCAAAGAGGAGGTAAATGACAATACGAGTTCCAAGGCAAAGGCAGTAAAAAGAGAACCAAAGAAAACTGTGACCGAGTCAACTAACAATACATGTGTTAAAGCTTCTTCGGAGACTGAGACTGCAGAAACAGAAGATAAAACCAGCCAACCAAGTGACAATGTTCCTAATGTGTTTGTTTCAGAGGTTGAACCAACATCGGAACTACCTGGTGGTGATTCTGAAGTGTGTGATTCGATGGACGAATCAAAATTGAATGTGAGACGTTCTGTTCGTTCATCTGCCCAGAAGGCCACAGCTTTAATCTCTGCAGGTTCTACCAAGCCAAAACCAAAACTTCCAACTCCACAGTGTTCTGACGATGAAGCATCAAATAGCAGTTTTGTGTCAGAGGGTGATTCTGTAAGCATGACAGAAAGTGGCATGAAAAATTTGAAAGCAAAGACAAAATCTGCTTTAAGAAGTCATCAAAAATCTTCAAATTCAGAGACTGAAGACTTGGCTATTGGCAGTGAAAATTCATCAGGAAAGAAGAAGAACATTTCAGCATCTAAAGCAATTACAATAGCAGACAAATCCTGTAAAAGTACCTTGAATCCTAAAGATGTTAGGGTTGAAAATGCCAATACACCATGTGTAAAGGCTGTTGAAAAATTAGTTCCTATAGAAAATGTTGATAAATCTGTCTCTCCAGTTACCACTGTGAAAACAATTGGTAACAGAGGTTTGTCTAAATTCTCCAAGACTGTGTGTGATGTGGCTGCAATTAAGAAAAGCCTAGAGACCAAACTAAGTGTCCTTGAAAATAAAAAGTCTGTTGAAAATGAAGCTTCAACAACTGATGGTGCTAAGAGTGTAGAGGCTCAGACTGAAGACACTGTAAGTATTAAAAATAAGGCTGACAAGACTGAGGAAGAAAAAGAATGTAGGAGAATGTCAGTGGTGGAAGATACAGAGCAAGATGCTGAAAATAGAACGAAAGATGGAAAGAAGTTGGAACAAGGAGTTGAAAATAAATTGGTTCCGAAGACGGATGTTCCAGCTAATCCAAAAGGTGTGAAGAAGGAGATGGGAACAGAAAAGACTGATGACAAATCAACAGGAAGTGAGAAGGGAGGAAAGAGAGAGGAAAGTACGGTTGAAGGGACCACTGAGAAAAAACCTGATATGAAGGGAAAATGTTTGGAAAAGAAAGGTAAAGTTGAAAATAAGGTGACTGAAGAAGCAATAAATCAGAATATTGAGAAAGAAAGTGACAAGAAAAAGAAGTCGGAAGAGGGAAAGAAGGATGAGGAGAAAATTGGAAATTGTGAGGAAAAGACTAAAAAAGAAGAAAGTAAAGCAAAGAGAAATGGGAATAGTAAGGAAGAGAAAAAACTTGAAAAATCTGAACAGAGTAATAAGGAAGAGAAGAAACCGGAAGAAGGAATGAAAGATGGAAGGGTAGATACTGTAAGTAAGAGAGAACCAAAAAAGGAGAATGAAGAAAGTGATAATGAAAAAGGTGCGGAGAGTAGAACCCAAAAGTTGAAAAATGAGGAAGAAGTGATGGCAAAGCTGGAGCAGGTGAGAGAAGTGAAGAAGATGGATACAAGAAGAAGCAAGGATGAAAAAGTCAAAGCAGATAATGATAAAAAGGTCTGTAATCAGGAATTAAACAGTGATAAAATGAAACATGTTGAAGAAGCTAAGAAGAGAGTGCCTGAAGAAGAGCAGAGGAAGGTGACTAGAGCTTCTGTTCAGAAGAAACGATTGGATGAACAAAGCTCTAAAAAAGATGAAGGTGGATCTCAGAATGCAGCTGTCTTAAAGGCTCAGAAGACACAAGATCAAGCGTGCAAGGAAGCTGTCAATGCTGGTGAACAAAATACGGCAACAAAAGACGTGTTTGTGAAGGAGGAGATAAATGGTGAAAATAAATGCCAAGAAGAAGGATCTTTGAATATTTCAGAAGAAAGCTCTGAAAAAACTCTTGTAGAGAATGTAGTGAATGAAGATGAGTCAAAGAAAAATGTCAACTTAAAAATGACAGAAGAAAATGAGCTTAAAAAAGAGCAGGAAGACACTGAACTGGAGATTGAAGATGAAGATAAAGAAAAAAGGAAAGTGGAAGGTGTAGTGAAAGTGGAAGGAGGAAGGAAAGTGGAAGAAGGAAGGAAAGGGGATGAAGAAATGAAAGTGAAAGAAGTAAGGAAAGCGGAAGAAGTAAGGAAAGTGGAAGAAGGAAGGAAAGCGGAAGAAGGAAGGAAAGCAGAAGAAGGAAGGAAAGCGGAAGAAGGAAAGAAAGCAGAAGAAGGAAGGAAAGCGGAAGAAGTAAGAAAAGCGGAAGAAGTAAAGAAAGCAGAAGAAGCAAGGAAAGCCGAAGAAGCAAGGAAAGCAGAACAATCAAGGAAAGCGGAAGAAGGAAGGAAAGTGGAAGAAGAAAGGAAAGGCACAGAGAAAAGGAAAGCAGAAGAAGGAAGGAAGGTGGATGAAGGAAAGAAAGTTGAAGAAGGAAGGAAGATTGAGCTAAGGAAAAGGAAGAGAGATGTAGAGAGTGAAGACAATAAGTGTCAAATCTTAGAAAACAAAGAACAAATTAAGAAATCTAAACAAGGCAAAGAAAGCATGGATGTACCTCAATTGACAGGAAGTATATCCAATGAGGAGTTGAAAATCAAATCATCTTTGGAAAATGGAGTGTTGTCTGTGTCTGGAAACCAAACTATTTCCTCCGAGTCCTCTGAGATTGCAAAGAAGACTACTTCCACTGAATCCTCTGAGACTGCAAACCAGACTGTTTCCACCAAAGAAAGTGTGTCAGACAGTGGTGTAATAACTGTAGAAACGTGTAAGGAACAGAAAATTGTAAATGATGGGGAGAAAACTGTGGTAGAATCTTCCAAGAAACAGGAAATTGGAGGTGTTGAGGAATCTGGCGAAATTGAAATGAAAGACTCACTCGATCTGTCTCCCTCTCTTATGGCTGTTGGAAATACTGAAACCAGCATCAATATTGTAGCTCCTCATGAATCTAAACAGAAAGAATGTAAAGAAGAAAATATAGGTGAAACAGGCGAAAGTAGGGTATCTCCTATTAAACCACTAAAGAGTAATACTGAGGAAGAAAAAGTGATTATTGATGACAAAAGCGATGAAAATGATAAAAATGAAACTGACATTTTAACTGTGAAATCGAATGAGAATCGAGATGAAACTCCAGATGCTGTCACAACTAAGAAAAGAAAACATTCGGAGAGTTCTGAGGAAGGTGGTTCTTCGAAGATGTTGCACAGTGACAACACAGCAGAGCTCTTGAAGACCGAAGGCTCAGAAGATGCTGAGAAGGCAGTTGAAGTTGATGTTGAGAAGTCACTCTATGTTGAAAGTGCTGAAGATAATCCTGTTACAGAGGAATTTCATATTTCTGAAGAACCGGTGCGCGAAACACAAGATAGCCCACCGGAAATCTCTGTTGTGGAGGAGATTGATATTTCTGAAGAACAAAAGAGTTGTAATGGTGATATTGAACATTTTCCTGACAGCCAACCACTCGTTGTTGAGGAAGATGCTTTGTCTTTAGATCTTGAACAGTTAGGTGCGGAGACTTCGCCTTCAGATTTTAACAAAGACTGTGCTGTGCTGCTCCAACAACCAGACAGAGATGAGAATATTGAGAATGAGCCAGAATTTGTGGAATTGGATAAGATACGCGAGAATGGTACATTAATTCCAGATACGAATATATCCAAACCAGCATCAAAATCCTCGGAGAGCTCAGTGTCCTCTGACAAGCAAAGCGATGATGAGAGTGAAGCTGCGATGCCGGATGGTATCGAGTCAGAAGATTCATCTAAAGAGTCCCTCGACATGAGGGTTGACTTGAAGGATATGGGGCTGGAAAATGTTGGAGAAGATCTTTTGCCGAAGGCTGTCATCAAGGAGAAGTCATTTTCGGAGGACGGCAATGACTTCCTAATGTTGGAGAAGGAAGACGATGATGAAGAGGTTGAGGAAGATATAGATGTTTCTCCGGAGGTGAAGCAGACTGAAACAGCAGAAACAACTGCTCTCAAGGGGGAAGAAATGCGTCTCGAGAAGGCCCAGAGTTCTTCAGGTGTATCTACAGATGAGGTAGGCCTTTTTGTATTGTTTCTAATTTAAGGGATCTGGACAACTCAGAGTTAATTCACATTTCTGTACTTTTTGTCAGCCAGAGGAAAAACTATAAATCAAGGCATGTCTTAGTGTATACTTGTATGGTGTCCAGAGAGGGAGAAAAAAAGCTTGGGCCTATAGAACTGATCCACGGGAGGTGGGGGATGGGGGGCTTTTTTCAAACAAATGTTCTCTCCCATATGCATTAACAGAATTCATTTCTCCATGCAACAGAAATAACTGAAAGTATTTCATTTAAAGTAGAAGTACTTTTTGAATGAATGAAAATTAATTTTTTGGGGTGGACTTAAAATTAGACCAGGCTGGGGGCAAGTTGTCATAACTACTCCTCCTTCTGGGTATACTTCGGTGTATACTTCCTGCTGATTTCTATGAATGGACATGTACTATGTTTGTACAGTGTATGGATCATATTTACTTTTTGACTACATGAAATGTGTTTAACACTTGTACTGAACCCCTTCAATTCATTCAGTTAATTCATTCTATTAATCGTTCAATCATTTATAATTCATTTCCTCCTCTCTCCCTCACTGATGGGAGTAACTCAGGTTATTTCTGAACTTGCACATACAACAAAAAGTTCAATATTAATAGGTATGTGTTTAAAAAAAATCAATTTCCTTTTTGTGGTCTGGAAAAAAAAATCATGTCAAATAAGAGCGTTACTTCCCCACTAACCGTTTTTTCAATAATTTCAAAAGATATAAAAGAAACAAAGGAGGCTGTTTGTGCCTGGTTTAAACATTCAGTTTACTAAATACGTTATTAATCACCTTAGATTAAAAATTTAAAAATCTGAAAAATTAATTTTATTAAAACAACTTAAACATCAATTTTTATTAGACTAAAAAGAATTATTCCTGTTATGTGTACATTGGGTAACACCATATCAAAGTATAAAATATTTTTATCATCTATGGTATGAAGGCAGAACCTTTTATGACAAAGTTGATTTATTGTTATTGATATTTTCTTTATCCAATGCAATTTCAGTATCTTATTGGGAAACAAAGGACGAGGTTGTTAATTGTGACTTTTCTTAATCCAGTTATTTTAATGGGCTTTATGTAAATAAAATCGTAATTTCAGTAAACCTAAAAAAATTGGGAAGCATCTCCTGAAACATCAACAAGCATTTCTGATATATTGGGTTCTATGTTAGTACCATGGATATGTTTTATTTTAAGATTGGGTAATAAGACTTCCAATTTATCATATTCGGTTTTGCCTTTAAAGAGTATATGTTGATTCACTGATTGAATGTCAGGGATTTAAGTGACAATACATATTTAGTGGTTTATGTGGTGTGAAAATGTTTTTGCTAATATTCAAATTTGTGGTTGATAAAACTTGCTGAACGTAAGCACGTATGTCGAGTTTAATTTTCAGTCTGAATAACTTAACACATGTGTTGTAAAGGAACAGATAGTGGGCGAAATCTTTGCGGTTTTTTTGTTGTTGAAGAAACAAATAAGATGTTAAACAAGATTTTAATTATTAAATTTTCGGCTTTAAAAAAAAAAAGATTAATTGGTTATTTCGTGTTTCCGTCTGCGTAAACTGCTATGATCATTAGTCGTAAGTTTAGTGCACTTTATATCTCGAGAGGTGGCGGTGTTCCTACCCTGACAGCTCGTGAGACCCATCGCCGACCTTCGCGACGGCTTGCGGGGGCTTTCCACTTCCAGGTATCTCTTCCAGCGGGCCACTACCTCGGCCGCTACAAGCTCCAAGCTCCCATATGGTCTCCTGGTAACGTAAGGTAGTGCATTCAAGTGAGAGAAGGGACAAGAAAGAGGAAGGAAAGATCGCGCGCGGCCCGTACGTCAAGATACTACCGCTCTGGCGTTCGCCTGATTAAAGAACCGCGGAAAATTCCCCATCAGAGCCGCCTAAAAAGAATTCTCTACACAGCGGCTGAATTCGACCTACCTATCTTTCTAGCGTCAAAACTCCGCTACCTTTAGGATTCGAACCCTGGACATCCCAGTCAGAGACCCTGCAGTGACAACAGTTGTTGTCTTAAGCTATCCCAGACGGTATGAAAAGTGTTTCTGAATAATCCTATATTACATCCATTCTCCATCCATAATCCTATTTTACATCCATACTCCATCCATAATCCTATTTTACATATGCTCTGCATCGAGATCGACCAACCCTGGGAAGGAAACACTGAAGGGATTGATTTTTATTCCAATTTATGGGCTACAGGATGGTATGGGTTGTGTGTTATTTCTGAAATCTATTGTTCATGAGACTGTTTCAAAGAGACAATTTTTTAAATTGCTGATTTTAAGTTAAAAAAATGGCTTTTCTCCTCCTTTTTCTTTTCTTCTTCTCCTTCGTAGTTCGTTTACCAATGCAAATAAGTTTTCTACAACTCGGGAGCGAAAAGTTCTAAATTTTCTAATGTTGCCAACCTCGCGTTGTTGGTGCGTATATTCATCATTGAACTAGAAAACGTGTGGGGGAAGAGATTCCCATACATCACATACACACATACAGTTTTACTGTTTATTTATTTTTTTAATACGAAAATCGAATCCTCTTTCCCCTTTTCTTTTTCTTCCTCCTTTTTTCTCCTCCTCCTCCTCTTCTTCTTCGAAAATAAATTTAATCTTTTTTTTTCCCCCACAATGATTTTATTAGGTATCTGTCGAAATTCTCTAAACGGGATCAGTCAAATGTTTCCCCCTTTGTTTTATTACTCATTGTTATTTTTATTGTACCCCTTCTTTCCTACTTCGGACAAGTCAGAATAAATCCTCTCGTCCTATGACTCATTGGCCCCCCTGTCCTATGGCTCGGTGTGCCGATCACTCATTACCAACTGTCGCAATAGTGGCGGTCACTAAACGCTACATTCTTTATTTTCTCCACAGCGTTCCATTGTTTGGAGCGTGAAACGTTTAGTTCAGTTGTCTTTGTCCTGACTTGGCCGATATTTTTTCCAAACCTTTACGGACAGTTGTGTTTTTTAGTAAACGATCGCCTTTTTACGTTGCAACTGTTTGATTTATTTGTTTTTAACATACCTACGGTATTTTATTAGTTCGCTTTCCTATTAACTTGTAAATTGATTAGTTCGCTTTCCTATTAACTTTTAAATTGTAGTATTATATTTTTTTCTAATATAAAAATATTGTTCTAAAGACACCACTGCAGTAGGTTCCCTTTATTCCTAGAAAAATAAGTTCAGCCTTCAAGACGAAGTTTTGAGACCTCAGTAATAAACCCTCTTCGTATTTTCTGTGTATTCATTCCATTATGTCATAAAAAAATCCATTTGGTGTTGGGCGTAATTTGATTGGATTCTCCTATATTTTATTTTCATCCCTCTCCGATCTGTTGGTAATTTGCCTCTGAAATCCCACCTCCACGTCATCGAGTTGTGTGCGTATTGTTTCACTTTTTCTCGTGTAGGTCGTATTTCTACTGATATTTTCTTACCTTGGTATCCTGCCGCAGACATGTTGTACGGTATTGAACAATTGTGGGAACGGGTAAGTCAATTCCCTATATTCATTTATTTCATCCAGAAAAAAAACCAACAAAAAAACAAAAACCTATGTTTGTGGTGTATCCTACTTACCGAATTTGTACCCCATAACAAAACTCGGGACATCTGCACAAAATGTACGCAGGTGGTACTATGCGATTCGTATAGTTCGCATCTTTTGTTGTTATCGTTATAGTGGGATTACTCTGGGACCGCTGTGACAGCTGCTGCTAGCATAACAGAGCTGCAGGTTATGACCAGGAGCTCAATTCATCAGTGCTTTCATCCGGATTTGGCTCACTTGTAAATGGCTTCGTCAGTACCTCTTGCAATATCATGGTCCGAGATTTAGACGAACGTGTCTGTAAACACGTTCCCGTGGAGCGATCCGGTGGATAGCGTTGTGTCGAGGTGCAGTCAGTCCTGCGACAGAAACTCCCCGTTCGCTTGCGAGTGGCGGAGGGGTCTCCTTGACCTTTTTGTTTTTGCATTGTGCTCTCTTCGACCACATTTTGCATATGCTCCGTGGGCGCACAGTGCTGCGCGAAGTAGGAAATGTTGCGTTCGCTCCGACTTGCCGTGTGACGAGCGTTGTTCATGGTGATCGGAAGCGTTAAACGAACAGAAAGACGATTTGCCGCGGACTTATTTTCTGAGCCATGTGCGACTACGGGGAAAATCTCGAATGTTGAAGCTGATGCGTTTGTTCTTGTGCCCGTTAAATATATTCCTCTTTCAAAAGTAGGCGTGGTTTAATTCCCTCCTTTTCCTCGCTGTGGTGCGACGACAATAGAACAAAGCCTTATCTTCATTTCGATGGAAAATAATGAGTTGAATTAATGTGTAGGTATATTTTCTGTGAATTGTTTCACATAATTACGTCTTATTAGTAGATCGGGTAGTTTGTGAGAGAATAAGGAATTGTACTCGTTACAGTTTCAATCGTTGCGTTGATATTTAGTTCACAATTTTTTGCTTTCGCGACAATTAGACCTGCAAGCATAATAAGAGGTCGGTTGGAAACTTGCCTCGGGGTCATCCATAAATTACGTAACGCCAAAGAGGGGGAGGGGGTTTGAGCCAGCGATACGTTACGTTACGGAGGGTTATGTGGGTATTACTTAAGTGTTACGTAATATAGATTTTATTTTTATTTTTCGGCATTTGCTGAAATAGTTCCTTTTTGGAGTCCTGTACTAACGCATTAAAATATGAAATAATTAATTCGTTTTAAAAACATAAATAAACGAAAGTTAGTTATTAGGAGGGGTGAGGATTCATATAAAAGGGTATGAAGTAGGTTATCAGGATATAGTAAATGTGCTTACTAACGAAATAGTATTATTTAAATTCTGAATTAAGTAAATTGTTACAATAAATGGAAATATCTTTTCAATATTTTTTTTTTTAAATCTGAGAGATAACGAAAAAAATATTCAAAGGTAATGTG